GATTTAAAGTAATTTAAATTGAAAAGTACTTTACATTGAATGAAAATCCTCGCCCAAAAGAGCAAATGATCATGCTTCTATTCAAAAGATAAATTTAACATGACATACTTTATGAACCCAAACAACAAATCTTCTCAAAAAACATTACTTTTAAGTGCTATGTTTTTATTTATATTGCTAAATTAGAAAAAAAAACAAAAAAAAAACAACAACAAAAAAAAAAAACAAATCACGAAAATATTTTTTTTTAAGAAAAAACTGATTGCGAAGGTGTAAAAAGCAATTGTGATTTATATAGCTCTCTTTTAATTTAAATTTAAACTAATTCATATATACAACCAATATATATATATATATATATATATATATATATATATATATATATATATATATATATATATATATATATATATATATATATATATATATATACATATATATATATATATATATATATATATATATATATATATATATATATATATATATATATATATATATATATATATATATATATATATATATATGCATGCAATATTGCAAAAAAGAGGAAAGAAAAAAAAAAAAAAGAGTTAGGAAAACAAATGCTAACCTCAATAAATTCTTTTTTTAACTATTTAAGAATACTTTTAAGCCAAAAAATGATTAAAAAATCATTTTATAAAAAAAAAAAAGAATATATTTATCAAATTAATGCCTTACGACCGTCACGAAAAAAAGTCAAGAGGTTTTTTCTAGGCTTCGTATCAGACTTTATAAAGCTAAAAATATAGTAAAAGTAAAGATACTGATATAGGTTTTATCATTGTTTTAATTTATTGAAAAAAAAGAGCTTCAAATGATAGTATTAAGATGTAACAAAGTACGTTACAACCATCACGCTATGTTTGCTTTTCCATAACGGCTTCTTGACATCTATATAAAAAGTTTCAGCGCGAAGGATTTTATTATTGAAACCAAGTTAAAAATCATTTGCAGTTTGTTTACTTATTATATTGCTTATCTTGTTATAGTAATTTCGAATAATTTAAAATTAGAAACTATTTCTTTTTTAAAATATAAATCACTTATTTAAAATAATTGATGTAAATAAATTAATATTTGTTGAGAAATAAAAACTTTGAACATAAAGAAATTTTTTTTTCGTTAAAACATTTTTTTTAGTTTGCAATGCAACGTTTTTGTTTAATTAATTTTGCAGTTTTTTTAATTATAAATTTTGTGGTTGTTTTTTTTAATCATAACAGAACGTTAATTTCAAAAGTTATATTTAATAACATTTTTTAAATGCCTAAATCAGATGCTGAAAGATCAAAAGCTTATAGAGCAAGAAACGGAAAAGCGATGTTGGAAAAAAAAAAGAAAGGGAAGTTATTAAAGAAGACAGTTATCAAAGAACACAACAGAAATAAAAACAAGCCAAAAAATCAGGTGGACGATGGCAACCAAAGCTTGAAAACAGTTTTGAATTCGATATTTTTACTTTGAAAGAATTATTTTATAAACATATGTTTATAAAATTAAATGTTTATCGCAACAGGGAGCATTTACCATTTAAACTTTAGTAAAGTATTAAAGTAAAAATAAATATAGCAACCTGCCTTTAGTTACCAATTTTAAATTTAACAAACCCAGTATCAAAAAACCATATTTGAGAACTTTGATAATGTTAATAAGTTTATACTTTTACATAGTTGACATGGTTTTTATGATTATTCATCTTTGTTTTTGATTGCGTTGTTCTATTTATTGTTTTTTAAAATAAGATTTTTCGTTACGACCGTCACAACAACAAAAAAACATAGAAATGTTTATAAGGCATCAAGTAAAAACTATGAAACTCAGCATATAATAACATCAATATGTGCTAAATACACACACCAAATGATTTTTTTTTTACCATGACGTTTGCAGCAATTAGTTTGACAAAGCTGTTTTGTTCAGAAGTGATAAAAAGTAAACGTTACGACTGTCACACTACGCAAAGTTAATTTTTGAAAAAAGTATAAGACTTCAATACTGTAACTTTTTAATACTAAATTATGTAATAGTATTCCACATTTCTGAGAAGTTTCAAGTGTCATTTCCATTTTTAGTTCATTGTAATAGCTTAAATAACGTCAAATGTTACGACCGCCACTCTTGCAGAATTGCCCATATATATATATATATATATATATATATATATATATATATATATATATATATATATATATATATATATATATATATATATATATATATATATATATATATATATATATATATATATATATATATATATCTATATCTATATATATATATATATATATATATATATATATATATATATATATATATATATATATATATATATATATATATATATATATATTGCAGAATTATATATATATATATAATTATATATATATATATATTATATATATATATATATATATATATATATATATATATATATATATATATATATATATATATATATAATTATATATATATATATATTATATATATATATATATATATATATATATATATATATATATATATATATATATATATATATATATATATATATATATATATATATATATATATATATATATATATATATATATATATATATATATATATATATATCTATATCTATATATATATATATATATATATATATATATATATATATATATATATATATATATATATATATATATATATATATATATATTGCAGAATTATATATATATATATAATTATATATATATATATATATATATATATATATATATATATATATATATATATATATATATATATATATATATATATATATATATAATTATATATATATATATATTATATATATATATATATATATATATATATATATATATATATATATATATATATATATATATATATATATATATATATATTGCAGAATTGCCCATATATATATATATATATATATATATATATATATATATTATATATATATATATATATATATATATGTATACGAATATGTGTGTATATAAATGCACATATATACATTCAATTTTTGATAACAGTTTTAAACTTTTTGGTAAAATTTTTAGTAATTTCTTAAAAGAATGCATATTTATACAATTAAAAAACAAACAAAAATTAAAACTTACCAACACAGCTATCATTATTTTTACTCAAAATCCAACCAGACTGGCATGCACAATTGTACGTTCCATTTAGATTTATACAAACACCATTTTTCCAATTGCATGGTGGATTCAAGCTCGTGCACTCATTAATGTCTAAATATATTATAAAATTTACAATTATACAATTTTTAGAAAAATTTTAAATTTAGTGAAAATAAATAATTTAAATATATAAATTAAATAATTCTGTAATAAAAAAAAAAATTAGATACAGATTAACAACTTGTAATCTGCAAAATAAATAAAAATCCTTCAAGAAAGTAGTTACATATATGGGAACAACTTTATATAAAAGGGTTTTTATAAAATTATATAAATGTTTCAAAACTACTGTTTAATATTTAATTCTTCTTTGATGATGAGATTATTTAAATGAAAATATCTAACTAATGCTGACATTAAATATTATTAGAGTTCATGTTTATTATTATGACTAGAAACTCGTAAATTTATAATTCACATTTTCTAATTAAAAAAAAACTTGTTAAACTTCATTTTTGGCATCAATTTTATTTTAGATAGGAAAGAAAAAATGGATCATCTGAATTAATTAATAGGTTTAAATTTTAGTTTGATAATTGTATCAACTAAATGATAAATTTAGTTGATATAATTATCAACTTAAAGCCGAATGATAGTCTACTTCTAAAAGAAACCTTTTGTGCTGAAATCCTAACATTTACTTACTATGCTGGGTGAATCCTCTTGGTCGTCTAGTGGCATGAGATGACTTGTTTTCTCCAATGGTGACCAGACAGTTTGTTACTTAAAAAAGTGGGTTTATTAATAAAACCATATTTTGATCTATGAAGATTTTATCCCTTGCGATTATTTTTTTTTTTTTTTAAACAAAAGCTTCCAACAAAGCTGCAAACCACTATTAGAGTTTGAAGTTACTGAAAGAGAAAAGATAAGGATTGTAGAGCAAGATAACCATTGACAGACAACTTAAAAAATTGCAAATTATATGAATTAGAAAAGCAAGATAAAGGAAGCGAATTCCAAAGAACTGATGTTTAAGAAAAAAAACTAGAGGAATAAGAGTTTTTGGAGCACTTGATAACAGTCACAGAAAAAGGATGAGACTAAATTAAATGAGAAGTAACACGAGAATGAATTTTAGTAGATGGCACAAGAGACACTAGCTCTTTAGAGCAATGCCCATAATAATATTTGTAGAAAAGAGAAAGAGAAGCAACATTATGACGATGTGATAATGGTTAGGGGTTGGCTGCAAAACCAGGTCCAACTATGTTTACAATGCGTTTATGCACCATGTTTAAAAAAGAAACAGTATTATTAGAAGATCTACCCCAGATACGATAAAAGTATTCCATACAAGGCCAGATTTGAGTTTATAGAGATAGAGAATAGAATCCATAGTAAGAAAGTGTCCAGCTAAATAAAGAGATGCAACCTTAGCAGATGTTAATTTTGCAACCGATTTGAAATATGGTTTTCAAGAAAGATCAGAAATAAGAGTTAAACCTAAAAGATGAAAGGTAGATAACTTATCAAGTACATTACGGTTCATAAATATAAGAAGATCAAATATATTGTGATAACGATTGGCTGAAAAAATTGAGTTTTATCTGAATTAAGTGAGATTCTTTTCAAGCTGTTTTTCAGAGTGTTAGCTTCTTATCATGACAAGAATAAATGGTAGTATCATCAGCGAACAATGCCACCTTAGATGTGAGAATATCTGGAAGATCGTTAATGTAAATTAAAAAGAGTATAGGGCCGAGGATTGAACGTTGAGAAACCCCTGAAGTTACAGGATATGAATTCTGTCAGAATTTATAAATCATACTCTAAATGCTGCTTTAATGACATTTCATCCATAACAAGACTGACATTACGATCAAGCGAATTCATTGCATCAGCACGTAACTTTAATGAAGAAAACAATCGAGTAGAAATTCTTCTTAAAAACCTGAAAATACATGGACAAAAATAATAATTAACAGGGTTGACTTGGTAAACAGAATATCGTTCGCAAGACAAAAGTTTGAGGACTATGAAACAGAATTTGCAAAGCCAAAACTTTGTCACAAACTGCCTATCGTTTTTCTTTATTAACAGGTTTACTCATTTCTAATTGACTTTTAAAAAGGCTAACTTGTATAGGTGATGGGTATTTTCTGGATAAATTTAAAATATATTTTATAGACCCATCACAGTTTTTTTGGGTTTTTTGTTTGGATTTTAAATGTTGAACTTGTTTAAGTAGTCTAGAATTTTTGACTCGCAATGTTAGAAGAAATTTAGAGAACAAAATATCTACTAATAAAATAAACTTATTTTATTAGTAGATATTTTGTAATCTGAATTAACAGGTAAATCTGAATTAACAGGTAAACAAACAACTTGCTTTTTTGCTGGAACTGAATGACATTCAACTGGTGGTTTCCTTTTGCAACAAAGAAGTGAGGATTTGGGATGTTAAAAATAGTAGGAATTGCTGATTGTAACAAACGTTTTGCACCATTATTTGTAAAATAATACATTGTATTTCAAAAATGATTACTGCACAAATAAAAGTTTTTGTTTAAAAATACAAAATCTTTTTTTTCTAAATCTTTCCTATGACAGTTGATGACCCACTGTTTAGATCTAAAAATTAAACAATAAAAGAATATGTTTTAAAATACTAAAATAATAATTTTATAAACTTTTTATGAAAAAAACAAGGTTATTATAAATAATATATGAAATAGTTTGCCTTTTATCTTCTTTTGGAAAACAAAATTCTTTAAGGTAGATACAAATATAACTATTCGCTACTTAATATTATAAAATTCTGAGGTCTGGCAGGACATCCCAGAGTGCTTTGTGATAAAATTACAATAAGTTCTATAAAATTATGCCCGACTGGATAGACTTCGACGCAAACTGGCATAAGTGCCATATTTTTTTTCAAATTGGCATAAGTGATTCAAAAAAATTTGCTAACATTAACATAAGTGCAAATCGGCATAAATACAAATTAGCATAAGTGTTAACTTGCATAACTGTGAAGCAGTTGCAAAAACTAGCATAGGTGCAAACTGGCATATGTGCGAATTAGCATAAGTGCGCCGAATAACTAATGGCATAAGTGCAAATTAGTATTTCACACTTATGCCAGTTCACACTTTTGCCAATGTTTGCAAATTTATTTTATCCCAGTTTGCATTTATGCCGATTTGCATTTACGGTAGGTTTTGTAACTGCTTCACACTTATTGCAGTTCACACTTGTCTCATTTCGCCCCTTCTTACCATACTTTTTTTTGACATTTTTATTAGATATTTAACTTTAAATGGTTAATAATACTTTTGAAGATTCACGATACCATTGACGAAAGTAATTTTTGATTTTTGAGTAAATTTTGAAGAGCTAATGTGCATCGAAAGTCTTGAACAACCCCTTAATATATATTTTAAAAACAAATAATTTGAATTTAATTGTCACTTTATGAAACACTGTAAAAAAACTATTTTTTTTAATGTTGTTAAAAATCTTGGTTCATAAAGATTTTTTTGTTGTTAACATGAATGTTATTATAGTGTTAATATATATTTTCATATAATTCTGACTTTCTAGTTTAAAACTAGAAAGTCAGAATTATGTTTCAAAAACATTTCAAATTTAGAATCAAGGTATAAAAAAAATTTCCTCATTTAATTTAACGAAACTTACCTTCACATTTATCACTACTTTTATTTAATGTCCAACCAGACGAGCATGTACAATTGTAGGTTCCATTTAGATTTATGCAAACTCCATTAGTCCATTTGCATGGTGGATTAAAGCTGGTACATTCATTAATGTCTATATAATTTTTTAAAACATTTAAAAAATGTGTAAAAATATATACTATCTATAAAAGCACAAATTTCTCTTTTAAACTACACTTATAACAATTTTTTTTCTTAAAAAAAAATCAAAATCTTTTTACTAGACGACCATCTTAAATTAAGCAATCATTAAGTTGTAAATTTGTCAAATATTCATACATTTCTACTCTCAATAAAAAAAAATAATAATTAAAAAAAATAATTTAAAAAAAAACTAACTTACCAACACAGCTAGCATTATTTATATCTAAAATCCACCCAGATTGACATATACAATTGTAGGTTCCATTTAAGTTTATGCAAACACCATTTGTCCAATTGCATGGCGGATTTGAACTGGTGCATTCATTAATGTCTAAATATATAATACTTTTAAGCTACTTTTAAAAAACTATTATATATTAATTATAATAAATAGGTGGCACAAAAACTTACTTTTCAAATATTTTTTTACTATTGCTTTTTTTTTTGTGTGTGTTTACTTTATGTACTGAAACTTATTCAAACTTATATACTATATTATATATTATGCTCCTAATACAAAAAGCATTTTTTGTATTAGGAACATAATATATAGTTTAGAATAAAAGTTTATTTTTGGGTAATTTTATGCCCTGAAACTTATCCAAACTTATATACTATATATTATATATTATGTTTCTAATACAAAAAGGTTTTATTCAACAAAATATATAAGTAAACTGTTTTAATTGCAAAGATTTTTTTTAAAACAAAGTTTATTTAAAACAAATTCGTGCAAGATTCAAGTTTATTTGCGGCAAAAAACTTTTGAAATCATCTTGCAGAAAAAGAGTTGAGTAGATTTCAAAAATAGTTTTTAATTTTTTGATGATTTACTTGTTTATTAACTATTTATATGTTTAAAGTTAATAATAAGTTAATAATAAGTTATAAACTTTATACATATTATATAGTATAAACTTTCTCATATAATTATATTGATTTCAACTTTTTTTATTATAAACACACAAATTTATCTAAACTTTTTACCCAGGATGTACTGTTGCAATTACATTTAGGTCTTATTTAAATAATTATTTAATCTAGCATCTTTTGCTTAATTGATTGAAAAACAAACTTTTACCTTTTTATCTAACAATGTAAAGTTGAGTAAAGTGGGTAGTGTTATGTAATATTTTAAACCTTTGTGCATGGTGATATTTAATTCTACAAAATATTATCATTAATGCAGCTTCAGCTTAGACTTTGTTGACAATTATATTATACAACTATTGTGTGAGAAATTAAACAACTCAAAGAATATGTGTTTTATAAACTAACAAATAAAATCCAGTGTTTTTTTCACTATATAAAATATGTAAATACATCTTAAAAAAACTTTTTTTAATGATTTGAGAGCTACATAAATGTTACAATAATTTTAATATACATTTAAACTGAAAAATTTAAATTTAGAGTTAAAATATTTATCCAACTTCATAAAACTTACCTTCACATCTATCATTATTTTTACTCAAGGTCCAACCAGGCAGACATGAACAACTGTAGTTTCCATTTAAGTTTATGCAAACGCTGTTAGTCCATTTGCATGGTGGATTTAAGCTGGCGCATTCATTAATGTCTAAATATATGATTTTTTAAAATATTTAAAAAAAATATTTTTCTGTAATTAATATATAGACTTAATATAATTTTTATATAATTTTCAAAACTTGAAGTTTACATAAGTTAGATATTTGCATAGACTTTGTTCACATTAAACCCATTAGTTGTTTGAGAATTTGAGGTAGAGATCAGGTAAATTTATTCTAAATGTCAACTACTAGAAAAAATGCTCACTTTGGCGACATTTTTTTGTTGATTGATTGATCAGGATAAAATGTTAAAACCTGTGTTTTTAACATTTTATCCTAATTGAAACCATATTCTAAACGCTAAAGCTGCACTTGTTTAGGTTCCAGCTTATTAAAATTGTGCTGATCATTTTAGATTACTTCGGTTAAATTCCATTTTCCAAATATTTGCAGAAGTTGTCAAAGCGTCAAGACCTATTTGAAGTTGCTCATTTTGGTTTTTAATATCTATTAACTTGTTCTATCTATTATCATTAGCAAAGAGTTTGAGGGAACACTCAACAACTTTAGACATGTTGTTTATAGATACTACAAAGCGTAATGAACTAAGAAAAGATCCCTGCTGCACACAACTTCAAACTTTTAGGCATTGAGAGTAAAAATTGTTAATCAGTTTTATAAGTTTGCTTTTGTCTAAAAAATTTTGCTTTATTAAATACGTTTTTTAAGTCAATCTTGCATGCCTGATCAGATCTAATTGGAAATGTAAACTTGGTTTTGCAATCTACCTTAAAAATCAAAAATCCAATTGTTTATTTAGGCATTCTGCTTTGTCAAGTGGTTTTGTAATGTCTATGCTTCATTCTTTAAAAAATGGAAGCAAAAATATTTGATGGTGGACCACCAGGAACAGAGGTTGCTCCACACACTAGTTCTAATAATAATAAATCATGTGAGATGCAGCAAAGATTCTCCTAGACTTATTGTTTTTAATAATCATGAATAATATCTAACAACTGAATCAACTTTTGGACTGCATAAAAATTGGGACAATAAAACTATATTAAAACACAGAATGAGATAATTGGAATTGACCTGGGAATAATTGGAATCCAATATCTATATATAATTTAGCTTTAACTTAAAAAAATGTCTTGTGAAAAAGTCTTGTGGTTTATTGACATATTGAAACTATTAAAATCCTATTCAAAAATTGATGATTTTTTTAAAACAAAACAAAAAAATATATATATAATTTTTATTATTTTCTTTTTTTTCTTTTATTTAAGTATAGTGTGACATTTACACATTCTATTTGTCATGGGACATTATAAACACTTTTGAGTTGCATGTTACCAGATCCAATTAAATGTGCAATTTAATTTCATTAAACGTGATGTGATAAATTGGGCTTAATGACAATAGTGTTTTAGATGTTCTGTGACAAACAAAAATCTAAAATGTTATGCCTTGTTTATTTTAACAAAATGTAATGCCTTGTTTAATTAAAAAAAGTTGCATGACTGCTTTAATTATAAACTTCATACCACACCTAATATCTAAAAGTCATGCCACACCTAATATCTAAAAGTCATGCCACACCTAATATCTAAAAGTCATGCCATACCTAATATCTAAAAGCCATGCCACACCTAATATCTAAAAGTCATACCACACCTAATATCTAAAAGTGACACAATCATTTAAATTTTAAATGTTGTGCATTAATTAAATAAATTTAAATTAAATTAATTAAATAAAATTAAATAAATTTTAAATGTTATGCAAAATCAGTCTTGATGACAGCAGTTTTATTAGAAAATTTTGTGTGATTATGTTTAAAAAGTAATATATATATATATATATATATATATATATATATATATATATATATATATATATATATATATATATATATATATATATATATATATATATATATATATATATATATATATATATATAGGTTCTTCTATAAATCAAGTGGTTCTACCTGATATTTACAAATCTTTAAGGAGATCTATATTGGGAAATTTAAATGATATTGATGCAGAAACAATTTTATTTGATGTTGGACTGAAGGGTAAAGATAAATTAGTTAAATGGGGCTAAAGTGTTCTATTATTAAGATAACTGAGATATAAAAATGTTTACTCTCGCATGTTTGCCTTTAGAAAGCCATAAAGGTTAAAAATGTCACAGTTTTATATGAGACATTGTTCTAGAATTTTTTCAGAGTCACCTGCCATGGGTTGTTAAAGTGATCTATCAATAATAATGACAATTGTATTTTTAATAATGACAAATGAAATTTAAATTTATATACAAATTGTTAATAATTGTCAGGGTGTAAACTAGCCCTGTGGAGCCCCGCCAAACGCGGCATTCCCAAATGCCCAAAAAATTCAAATTCCCAATTTAAAGGTGAAAAAATCCCATTCTCCAAATAAAGTTTTACAAATTAAAGTTTAATAAGAATTCTAAATATTATTGAAAATTAATTATTTTCAAAAACTAATAGAAAAATAACATAAAAAACTCTAATATATTAATTGTGAAAAACTTGAAATAAAAACGTTGTTATTGGTACAACTACGCGATTGCATAATTGCAAAATTGTCTATTGGAAAAAACTCCTTGAGAATTCAGATATTCCCAGTTATTTTAGGGATTTTCTCGGCAACTTGCTTGTAAAATTTTATTTCCAAAATAATTTTTGGCAATGCGTTATAACAACATTAAAATATTACATAAAAAAGCTAGCAAGAAATAAAGCATAATCTAAAAAATAACAAATTTGTTTGGTTTAACACCCGCAAATGCTGTTTCTTTTAAAGTTTTTCCTTTTTTGGCTGAAAAGATAAATAACTTATTAAGTCTTACTGCAAACCCTACTTCAGGTAGTTCATGTGCTTCTTCAACAAAAAAATTAGGAAGCCGCCTACATCAGATATATTCGAAATTTTGATCAATTACGGATTTAATAGTAAGTATTTTATCCTTTTGTTTTTGTTTTTCATTTTATATACACTGAATTATGTGATCGCATAGACTAAAATCATTTTTACTTATTTACTATTTTTTCTCAACTAACTTTTTCAAAAGACCAAATCTGAAATATAAGTTTAATACAAAAAATGTTATACGATTATAACAAACTAGTACTAGAAATTTATTTAATGAGGAAAATAGATTTTTTTACTTTACTGCTTGCTTTTAATGAAAACGTAAATTAAATATGTTTAATAACAAGAATGTTTTTTTATTTTATTACAACAAACTGGTACTAGAAATTTGAAAATCAGGAAAACTGGATTCACGGATTGCTTAAATTTAAAACGTAAAAAGAAATTTAAATGTTTCAATGAACCATAGTCATAATTTATGACTTTATGACTATAAATGAAAATATAATTATTGGTATTCTTCAATGCCACGATAACCTGTAATTGCTGTGATTAACATTTTTTGTAAATTAGCAACATTAGTTGCTGTTTTTGCTGAGTTTTTGTAATTGTTATTTTATTTTTCTACGCAATTTGTGTCAAAAGAAAGTTAATATTAGGGAAGAGAATGTCAGGGGAAAATTGGGACAACTGAGAAGTGGGACAGCCTGAAGTTGCTAATTAGGAATGGTACCTAAATACTGTTATTTAATGCGAACAATTTTTTTTTTTTTTTTTTTTATTTTAATTCACCTCCTCAAGGCCGAGACGGCCACTACAGACGAGGAGGCTACTTATTTGTGGCTATAACCCTCTCTCAACTCTATAACTCCGAAACACGAACCTTGACGAACAAGGCCGCTGCGCGGAGAAACGAGTTAAATTAATTAATTAAATTTGTTCTTCTTTATTTATCAAAATTGTTTTGTTTCCCTGCGTGTGCTAGAAGCCCTAATTTTGAAATGTACCTTAAAAAAGTGTTTACATTGGAGTGAAGTAGGACAGAAAAAAGAAATATTCATGCCCCACTTCTTTCCTCTGCCATTCGATTATTTTGATCGGTGAAAGCTCTTGAACATTCAATGTCAATTTTATGATTTTATCAGTTTTTTAATAAGTTGTGTTAAAATGTTGTTTCAAATTTACTTGTCTCACTTCTACTCACACTTGTCCCACTTTACACCAATGGCACGGTTTCTCTAAAAGCAAAAATTTATATACTTAGTTATAATTGGCTGGAAACTTAAGGGTAATGAATCGATGCATAAAAAGAAGGTTTATTCGTAGAAACTTGTTTGGTTCAGTTTATACATCAAATAAAAAAGATATTGCAATTACCCTAAAAAAAATATACACTGATTATTTTATAATATAAAAGTATATAATTCTTAATATATCTTTGGAAGTTGGAGCTTAATACCGTGTGTTTGTGAAACTTTGTTTAATTTTGTGTTGATTTCATATTTATCACCAATATATGTTACAGACGGTTTTTATTTTGTTTTTGGTGCTATCCAATCAATGTATGCAGCGCTGCAGTGGAGTAGAAGATGAAATAATATAACAATTAGATTTTCAGTAAAATGGTAATACAATAATAAAACGTTGGTAAATTTTTAATTTATTTAATGTCTCTGGAAAACTTACATTGAATTCCCCACAAAGCAAATATGTCATTTCTATACCACATTGTAGACGTAAATACCTTTAAAGCTGCTTGTATATATTAAATTTTTTTTTCAAAATTGACATCATTATGGTCTCAATGCCCCCTCCCCATTGTCATTTCTTGTCAAACTTTTTAGTACCCCCTCTCCCCCTATATTCAATGATATCATTTATGGATGGCCCCTATGAGGTCAAATCTATGCACAATGGTGCAGCATGAAAACTTTTAGACTTCTAAACTCATCTGGCTCATATCCGGCATATAATATTGATATGTGATGACATAAGTAACTGTAAGGAAATTAAATTATTAGATAAAATAATGCAGAAGAATTTTAATATGTTTGAACTTCAACCTAGCTTTACTATTAGAGAAACCACATTGTGAAACAAATATAAAATTCTACAACAATCTCTGATTTCTTGCTGAAGTGAAAGGTATTGACAATTTAGAAGAGCAACTTTCAATTCAAAATAACTTTACTGTATGGTCATTCTATGTGAAATCAAAAAAAATTTTTTGGCACCATGCTATCTCAGATTTTGATGATTTTTATAACTATATAAAAAATAAATTTAAAATATTATTTAAAAAAAAGAACTTACCAACACAGCTTGCATTATTTATATCTAAAATCCAACCAGATTGGCATGTACAATTGTAAGTTCCATTAAGGTTAATACAAACACCATTTTTCCAATTGCATGGTGGTTTTAAACTAGTGCATTCATTAATGTCTAAATATAAAATTAAAAAAAAACACTTCAACATTAAGAAATATATATACTTTACTGTAGAGTCATTCTACATTAAATCAACCCAAAAAAAAAGTTTTTATTTTTTATTTTTAAAGCTAATAACATAACAAAACTAGCTTTGACAGTGAAAATTTATACCTAACTATATTTTAGGGAGATATATTAGGGATTATATTATACCTAACTATATTTTAGGGAGATAACTAACCTTTTAGGGAGATTTATAACTAACCTTTATATTTTAGGGAGATAAACTCAAAAATAATGGCTAAAACACTAAAAAATTAAAGTTTTTATATAAAAATTTAATTTTAAAATGATGTAACACTTTTTATATGTTTTTTGATGCCCTGTTCAAATAAATGTTTATCTTAAAATGCATAAAAAATATGATTGTAAAATTTTTTCCTAATTTTCTATATGTAACACTTTAATACAAAAAAACTGGTTTTCTTTTTTATATCAGATTTCCATTTAAAGTTTTATAATACTAAATCACAAAAATATTGAAATTACAAAAATAAACCAGCAAAACAATTATATTGTTATAAAAAAAATTAAAATGAGGCAATAAGAATTAACAATCTTTAACAGTTTCATAAAAAATTAGTTTTCTGGTTTAAAGTGTGCATAGCTTTTTTAAATGCTTTGGTGATCAAATTTACTGATTTTATATTGCCTTTATGTGATAGTTGTTATATTATCATTAAAAATAAGTTTATTGATGGAACTCAGCACACGTCATCTCTAGAAGGCCAATAATATGGAAGGGTAAAATGGACTCATAAATTTAACTTGATAAGACTTTATTTTGAACATCAATATCCTCAACTAGTCCAATTCATGGATTGTTATTATATATCAAATATACAAACACTCTATTGCTTATATTAAACACTCCAAAAAAACATTCTTTAAATAATCTCATCAGTTTGAAAATTAAAAACATTAGTTCCAATTATTGTTACTTATTGGAATAAAATTATGATATTTGTGGGTGCAACATAAATCTCCGTTTCATTTTGGACACTAAACTAAAATTAATTTAATTGCACTAATTAATAACTTGATATTGATGGCAGATACCCATACAGTATGTGTGTGATCACACATACAATGTATGTGTACCAGATGCTCTTACTGTATTGCACCATTTTGGACAATTTAAGCTTAAGTTTAAAAAACAAGTTTTTATATCAGGATATTTGGTTTTAGCATATAATAGATATATGTACGTACACATGAAAAATTATCTTTCCTTTTTATTTCCAGGGAAATATAAAACACCATTTTTATGGTGTTTTATATTTCCCTATGTGGCATGGTGCCAAGCATATATTGAATTGAGTTGGAATTGAACCCTGCAATTAATATGGAGGATGATAATTAGTATGTAGACTGCAAATTAAAAAAATTTTAAGAAAATAAAATTGTATAAAGGAAAAAATTTCATCAGAAATGTTTTCAGATATAGTTGCAGAATTTTTTTTTTCCATCAAAATTTTCTACTCACATGGCACAGTGGACCAAACAGCTGTTTGGATAGACATTTGTTCATAACTTTTGAACTGAAATTGCTATGGAGTTGATTAAGGACTTTTTGGAATTTATGTATAAATTTTAAAAAAACTAAAAAATAATTTTGCTGCGGGATATTTAGGTCGTAAATTAAAAGACCAAAATATTAAAAATTTGATAGGTTTTTATAGGTTATAACAAAAATGTATTTAAATGTTTATAAATATGTATGTATATTTTGTAATACAAAAATAACAGAGGTTATCTTTGTATTGATGACAAAAACAACAAAAATTAGCAAAAGAAGTACTAAAATAGGTAATTTTATCATATGTTAACATTTTAAAATTGGTCTTTTTCAGATAAAATGTTATTAGAGACATTTTTTTATGAGAATATTTATCAGATTGTCCTCATTCATAACAACATTTGCAGATTGGTTCTGACTTGTATCTTTTGTCAAAAATAATTTGATCAGATGATATCCACATTCAGTTAATGGTGTCTGTTAAACTGACAAGTTTTTTTTAGAGAGTCTAGTATGTATCAATCTTAATATTTTGTTATTACCTTTTAACCCTGAATCATAAAGATTTCCCAAACCATTTTCCTCAAAATTAGCCCCCAATGACCTATGACCAATCAGTTTGTGGAGTGATAATGTTATAATGATCCATGGTCCAGGTAAATTTATTTTTGTAACAGGTGAAAACTTGTAAAATAAGAATAAATAAAAAACTTTACAACTGCTTTTATATTGATCCACAAAAATTTTCCTTTTTGAGGAAAATACTTAAAGTATTACTGAGAGCATCAATTCAAACTTTTGAAATGTGCATGATATTAAACAGGCAATCGTGCAATAATAAAATCCCTGTTTAGTGCAATAGTTCTCTAGCTATATAACTTGTTCTTCTTCTTCTTTTCCAATTGTATCAGGGTAGTCTCATTTTATACCTGTTTTTTTTAGTAGCTCTGTTTGTAATGAAGTCTCTGCTTGATTGAGAAAAGAAGAAAAAAACTTGATTGAGAAAAGAAGAAAAAAGAAGAAGAAGAACAAGTATATAACTTGTTCTTCTTCTTCTTTTTCCAATTGTATCAGGGTAGTCTCATTTTATACCTGTTTTTTTTAGTAGCTCTGTTTGTAATGAAGTCTCTGCTTGATTGAGAAAACCATTTAAAGCACTGAAAAGGGATTCAAATATTTAAATATTTCATTTCATTGATTACAAAACCATTTTCAATTTATTCAATATTTAAACACTGATCTTTTGAGACACAGATCATTATCACCTCCAACTCCTGAAAAAAGATTCACTCATTTCATACCCATCATATATGACTGCACTACCAACTTTACATTAAATTATTTTCAGACACTGATTGACGAGTTTCTTATTATTCTTTTCCCATTTGAAAACTCAGCGCTTTGTGACTGAGTAGGGCATTTTGTGACTTTTGCAACCATATTAAACAACCTGCTTCTGTTTGAAGTTAAAACAAACAAAACATTTTCAGTATGATATTGCTAGTGTTAACATTATCTTTTTAATTAAACATTTCATGGCTTCTACTACCATCCAAACTTATTTTCATAAGTATATTTTCAATGTTTATATCTATAAAAAATGTTCTCCAATATCCTTTGCTTTGTCAGTTAATAGCCTGAAGTAGATTGAAGTAAACGCCAGAATAAGGTTCAAGATAATTCATAATAGACTGAAGTAAACACCAGAATAAGGTTTAAGATAATTCATAATAATTGGTGTTACTTTAGATTGTTTTCTTCTGAGATGTTTCTAACTAGGCAATATATTAAAACCAGCAGTTAACAGAGTTTTTTTTTGTTTGTATATTAATGCCTAGCAAGAGCACAAACTGTTTAAATTGTTTCTATTGGAACAATCAAGAGCACAAACTGTTTAAATTGTTTCTATTGGAACAATCAAGAGCACAAACTGTTTAAATTGTTTCTATCGAAAACTTATTGAAAGAGTTATTCTTTAATATACTCTTTGAGCAAGGTTTCCTAACCAGCCTTGAATTATATGCCAGCATTGCCAATTTTTTTAAGTTTGTTTTTCTTCAGATGCAGGTTTTTGCCAGCTACTCTGAATTATTGTTTTTTGTGCCAATTTATGAGAGACAGGTGCCTTAGCAATTACCAGTATACAACTTGTTTTATTTGCAGATATAGTTGTTATTTAACTAAAGATATAAAAAAATTTGTTGATTCATTATCTAAAAACTTTTTAAACAATAATTTAAACTTAAAATAATATAATTCAAAGTATAAACAAGTTTAGGTGATAAGTAAAAATATTATATTATTACTATATATACCACAAAGCTCTCAGTTTTGATTTTAACTCTTGCAATTTGTTTAATTTAAAACAGATTTAAATGCTGCAATATTTTTTTTTATTAATGGTTGTACTAACTAGATTAAATTCGGTAAAAAAAAAAAAGCCTAATGGAAAGGAGGGCAAGGAGGGGGGGGGGGTGTAGGTGTTGGTCAAAAATTGGTCTGAATGCTTTTTTTAATTTCTAGACATACACTTTTACTGAGCACATTTTCCTCTTATAAAAATATGTACAAAATGATGTAAAACTATTTCCCTTTTTAACTTCATAGATTATTTGTGCAATAATCTATAAAGTTAACATTTACATAAACTGAAGTCTAAGATTGTTGAAGACTGAAGTCTAAGATTGTTGAAGTCTAAGATTGTTGAAGACTGAAGTCTAAGATTGATCTACATACAATTATCACATAAGCACTGCTTATATAGTGACATTTTTTCTTATATAATACTAAAATAAAAAAAACTTACCAATGCAGCTGGCATTATTTATATCTAAATTCCACCCAGACTGACATGTACAATTATAGGTTCCATTTAGGTTTATGCAAACACCATTTGGCCAATTGCATGGTGGATTTGAACTGGTGCATTCATTAATGTCTAAATATATAATAATTTTAAACTACTTTTAAGAAACTATTTGCTATATTATTTCATATATTATATAATAGGGTGGCTCAAAAACAAAACTTTTCATGAAATTTAATATTAACAAAGTTTTAAATTTATTTTATATATTAAAATAACACATCAAAATTTATAATATTATTTTAAATTTTAATGCATAAAAGCATAAAATTTAATTTAAAAAATTAAGTTTTTTTTTACTTAAAGTTTGATAAATATCCTCACAATGGTTAGTAATTAATAAAATGTGAATATAATTTTGAAATATAGTAGAAGTAATACATATTTGTTACAACAAAAGTAAAAACAATTAGCACAATACAAAATTTAGATTGTCAAATTATGTATAGCTTTTGTAAAGCTCATAATGCAACTTTCAAAAGAAATAGAGCTGTTGTAACTTAAGACCGTGACAAAGCCTGCTGTTAACATGGAGTGTAGACCATATCTGGCAAGCTGGTCTATCTGCTGGCAATGCAGTTGTTGAAAAAAACTACTGCTGTTTTTTTTTATGGAATTATGAAGAAAAAGCTAGTTAATTATGTTTATGTTTCTCTCAACTTTAATTTTTTGAGGCAAAAGACTCATGGTATAGTATAAACGTAGATTTGAGGCCAAGTTGTGCGCATCTGGGTAGTTAGCTAAAAAAATACAGTTTGTGTAGTATCTTTGTGGCTCTGCGCTGTATTTACTCAATAACTTGCCTGTCTTTCACTAAATGAGATTCCAAGCTGGAATTGTTAATTCAATTAGAGGAAAGACATTGGTGGAATATAACTGCTTCTAAAAAAACATGACTTTAGAAGGTATTTTTTAAAAACACCAAGAATTTAATTACTTTACATGATGCAATTACAGATCGGCATTCTACTTTAAGGACATTTGTATTTTGGATTTGCTTAGAGATGGTTTTTTCTTCCATTGAGAATAGGAAAGCAGTTGAATTTGTTGATAGCACAGATGGTTTTTTTGTTTATAACATCTGGCACTTCATTGATGAAAATGAAAACAAAGATTGAACCCAAGACTGATCTTTGCAGAACACCGCTAGTCACAGGTAATAAATTGGTAATAATTTTGATGTGTAGTTAGGTTGATGGTGTTGAAGGAGACTTAAACAGGATGATGCTGAAAGCGACTGAATTACCTCAGCGCTGATTTTCTAAGGAGAAATGAACTTTTCCTTATTTTAATGATGCTAAATGTTTAGGTTGTGTCAATACATTGATTTTTTTTGCTGCAGATAACAAAACAAAATGGCTTTAGATGATATATAATAATACAGTTTTGAATTTTCTGGTTCAAACATTAACATTAAAAATATAGACTTGAAGAAAAAGAAAATTCAATTTAGTATAACTTACCAACGCATTTATCATTACTTTTACTTAAAATCCAACCAGGTAGACATGTACAATTATATGTTCCATTTAGGTTTATGCAAACACCATTTGTCCAATTGCATGGTGGATTTAAGCTGCTGCATTCATTAATGTCTAAATATATTCATTAAGCCTGTTCTGTAATAAAAAATGAGGTCAGCAATAATTTGCCAACCTTAATCTTTTAAAGGTTGGCAAATTAATATATAAAAATACAATATAGCGTGTGTGTGTATATATATATATATATATATATATATATATATATATATATATATATATATATATATATATATATATATATATATATATATATATATATAGATATAGATATATCATATATATATCTATATATGATATATATGATATATCATATATATGTTTTATATATATATATATATATATATATATATATATATATATATATATATATATATATATATATATATATATATATATATATATATATATATATATATATATATATAGATATAGATATAGATATAGATATATCAGTCTTCTCAGCTTAAAAAAAAATTAAAAAAAAAATGCTTTAGATGAATTTTAAATGATAATAAAAACTAAAAATTGAACATTTTACTTAAATTCTAAACAAAAAATAAAAGTAAAAATGCCAAAAAGAAACGTTTTATTTAAATTCATAAATAAAACACAAATGTCCTAGATCTCACAAAACCACACATGAATCAGACATTCTATCAGAAACGATTTCATTTTATTGGCATTTTGTTTATCTTAAAATGACTTTATAGGATTCTTGTTAGAGGAATTACCTGGCTGTGAGAGTATTTCAATGCCATTTTTTGTCGCCCAATGGTAAAGCTTGGTAAAATGATAAATTTATTAACCCTTTAAGAGTCCCGTGTTTTTATTAAAAACGGTCGCGATTAGTCCAGCTTTTTTTTTGAAGTGATCTTTAAATGTCCCGTATTTTTAAATTCATCGTATTTTTTTACTAATAAAATAAAAAATGTTTTTTACTATTTTTAAAATTATTTAACACTACAAAATGTTATTATTCAAGTTTAAGAATATATAAATCATACTACATAAACATAAGATTTTAAAAATGTATTCACTAATATTCACTTTTTGTATAACAATTGTAAAAAGCAAGGAGCTGCAAAAAGTCCTACTTCACGTTTTACACATTCATATCTTGAACCTTTTTGAACTATGTGTTTGTAACATACCGCGCACCATCTTTGAGCATTATTGTTTTAATATCATTTTTAATAATCATTCATTAAATATATCTTTTCATTATTGATTCATTAAATGTAAAAAAAATCTTTATGTGAGTAAAATTAAATTGAATGCATTTAAAAGACAATTATTGAAACAAAAGCTCTGCAATTATCTAGTAATAACTTTTGTGACAAGTAGACATATAATTACTGATGAACAAGAAGAAAATATAAGGAGATGCACAAAACCGTAATATTACAGCATGGACATTTAGAAACTGCTTTTAGTTTGGGTAATATTACGGCATGGACATTTAGAAACCACTTTTATTTTGTGTAATATTATGGCATGGACTGCTAACGGGTTAATCAACAATCTTAATTTTATTCTAACACTAGTGTTTATAAAAAAGACAGTTTGATAGCATTGCACAGTTTGTTAATATTCAACTTAGAAGCAGTGATTCAGAATCTTAACTTAAAAGCGAACTTTCTTATTTAGCAAACAATTATGTATATAAATACATACCATCTCAAGGTTGTCTAAAAAAACACAAAATATTGATAAGACTAAAGAAATAAAAACATCGTAGTTACAAAACCAGACAAACGGAATGGTATAATTATTTTTAATAGTTAACCATATTACAATCTTCAACTAATATTATAAGTGATAAAACTAAATTTAAGAAGTTAAAAGACGATTCAACTATTAAAAGAGAGAACAAACCTTTACAAGGATATCTTAGGAAACTTAAAATTGTTTTGAAAATAAAGCTTGAAATAAAATTTATCCTGTTCACAAACAGCAAGAACTTATGCTTTACCTAAGATGAACAGTAAAAATTCCTCTCTACTAACTTTTAGACCAATTATTTCAATAATTAGGACATATTATAAACTTGCCAAACATTTGTCTGATTTATTGTATCCTTATATACATAAATTTTATTCCACCTGTGACTTTTTTTTGTAGTTGAGGAATTAAAACAAGTTGATATAACTAACAAATAAATAGTTTTCTATGATGTTGATGTTTCTATCCTTATTTACTAATATTCCATTTAATGAAACTATAAATATAGTTACTGATTTATACTTTAAAGATAAAACGTGTTTTAAATCTATTTGTCTGTTAATATTTCTTTGTAATGTTTTCAAATTTTGATTTTATATTTATATCCAGAGTTTTAAATTGTAAATTTATCTTTTAAAAATGTATTATATTAACTACAAAACATGTCAAGACTGATTTCGACATCAGGCCGACAAATACAAAGATCTTACCATAAAACATCAAAACGAGGTCAGCAAAACTGAATTTTTTTTGCCGACTGCAAACACGTTTAAGTCGGCATTGCCGAATGCCGACCCTAATTCTGAGGGCTGTGTATATATATATATATATATATATATATATATATATATATATATATATATATATACAAGTTTATATATATACATGTTTATATATAAACATCATTATGTTCAACATGATCATCATAATCATTATCATAAACATTCATAAACATCATGATTATTAGTATCAAGTCTTAACCTTTCCCTTGCTTTTTCTTCAATATAAACAAATCTTGAACATTTTCTATCTTTAACTAAAGCTTGTTCATATTATATATAATGCTTTCTTTATAAGTTTTCTTCCTATCTCTACCCTACCTTGATACCCAAATCATTATAATCTTCTCTGAAAAACATTGTTAAAAACAATGTTTTTTTTTAACCTCTGACTAAGATTATCCTTCTTTTCTTATCTTGTTAGAATCATGCCACAAATCCATCTGATCATCATCTCTTTCCGCAAATACTACACTATATAATTTCTAAAATTTAAAAAAATATGTAAAGATATTGTATGCCATCATCTAAACTTAATAGCAAACATACATTTATATCCATAAACATCCATATTATGTATGCATAAATTCACCTCTCACCTTACCTCCTCATCCTAGCAGGTATTTAAGCTCTTATTCTTTCTTGCCAATTTCAAGTCAAGCTTTTAACTGCACATTTTTTACCTTCTTGTGCAGTTGCTATGTTAAACCATAATCTTTTTTTTTTTATTGCTTTTACAATAACATCTCTATTGAGAAGTTTTTATTAAAGAAGTTAATGTAAAAAGGATTTTTTTATGAATTTTATACTGAATTTTGTATCTCAGATGTATCTCAGGTTCTAGAAACTTGGAAAATCTTCATCAGTGTCATTAACTAAATTATGTCTAACATTCCATCTCTAATTCATGGGTTTGATCTTATTACCTCTCCCCAAATTAAGCAGAGTTCTTTGCAAAGAACTTTTCCCCTAAATTGACTGTTGAATCACATAGCCATATTCTTCCTGCCATTCCATTTAAACAAGTTAACCCATTGTTAGACATCCAAATCACTTCAGCTTCTGATGCTTAAGTCAATTCTCTTAAAATTACGTTATTCTCAATTAAACCCTTTAAGATCATATAAATCCTATTTATAGTTGTTAAATCATTTTTTGGGTTTCCATGAGAGATTAGTAGTGAAGAAAACATAAAGATGAGAACTCAGTGGTTGCCAATTATTAATGTAGGAATGTTGGCAGTCTCGCAATAGTTGTTTGCAGTAAATAAGTTTTGCTGGAGTTAAAATTCACAGTTATGACAATATTTGGATAAAAAATCTAATGCTGGTTTCAAATAATATTAGAATTAATTATTATGGTTTAGAACCTTTAAGTAAATTAGTGACATTGTTCATTTTAAAAACATACCTGACTAATTTTGACAAGGGAAAAGAATAATTATACGATTGTTTTTCTAACATACTATTTAATATACTTTATATATTTTTTTAGTTTTTATATAGTGTTTCCAATAAAATTTCTAATATACTTTTTCTAATTATATGATCATTTTTCTAATGATTACATGATTGTTTTTCTATTATAAAATTATTTGGTTAGGGTAATTTAAAATTACATAATCAAAATTAAACATGTCTTTGGTGAAATAATAATTTACTAAATGTTTCAATTAATCTAAAGAGAATTTTTAATTCTAATTTATTATTTTAAGTTAAAAATATAGTTGCTTTTACTTTTTGAAACTTTAATCATATGACTTAAAAAATCAAACATAAGATATTTTTTAATTGTTACTTGTTAAATTTTTTAGAAATATTAGAACAATTTTTTATTTTCTACAGATGACTAGAAAAAAAAAAAAAAAAGTTTTAAGTTAAAATAAGGGTAAGGGGTATATAAAAAATTTTTTTTATGGTAATATCAACATTGCTTTGAACTTCCATGCTAACTATAAACATTACAAAATTCAAAAAGGTTTTCAAAATTTCTGCTTCTAGAGAGTGATCAATAAACCAAATAATCTGTTAATACATTATTTGGTTTTGATATATATCTTTTTTTACATTTGTGGAAATGTTTACAAATGTAAAAAAACTAACTTTTGAAGAAGTTTTAAAGATAAAAATATTTTTTCAAAAGTTTATATAGATTACTACTATCAATTTGAAATATCAAAAATAGTTATTTTTTATTTTAGTCCTAAAAATAGTTGTTTTTTAAAAAAAAAATAAACTGCCTGAAAAAATTTTTTAAATATATATCATGCATAAAACTGTTCTTTTAAACAATATTATTATTAATCAAATTGTTAATATTTTGAATTAAATCTTCTGCTGGTGTTCTAGAAAATCTAATATTAGAAAAAAAAAATGTTTTAAGATAAGAGATTTTTTTTTTTTTTTTTTTTTTTTTTTTTTTTTTTTAAATATAGAATACAATCGATTTTGACTTCTTTTGACTAATTTTTACAACATACTGTACAATTAATGAGAAAACACACTTCTTATTTTTATTGCATTTATCTAATTAATAGGATCAAAAACATACTAAAAACTTACCAACACAGCTAGCATCATTTTTACCCAAAGTCAACCCAGACTGACAAGAACAACTATAGCTTCCAATCAAGTTTACACAAACACTGTTTGTCCAATTACATGGTGGATTTAAACTGGTGCATTCATTGATGTCTAAATTGTTTTTTTTCTTTAACTTTAGAAAAATATCATTTAAAACTCAGCTTTTAACAATAAAAACTAATAAAACATAATCAGGCTTTGTTAAAAAAAAAATTGTAACTTCTGGATAAAGTTTTTTTTTATGAGAGGACTTTTTAAAGCTTTTTTTTTTCAGTGTTGTTGTTATTGCTAATTTTTTGTTTTTGTTTTACGGCTTGAAGCTGTAACTCACATTTTTAATCAACAAAATTCATTGTTTTTGTTTAAAAATGAAAAAAACGCTATAAAAACACCTCAATAAACATTTAAAAACTTTTTCTATAATTCTAAACACTTACTAGTTAATTTATGTTACTTAAAACCGAACGCGAGAGAGAAGAAAAGCTCTTTCCTTAAACGAACAAGGCGAGCCATGCAAGCTATTCCTTTAAACAACTTCTTATGAGAGCTTTGGTTATTGCACAAGCTATCTGTTTATTCCTTTAAAAAATTGCTAATTAAATACAAAATTCCGTATTATACTTGTTATAAGCATATGTTTGTGAGATTAATATTACAAGTATATATATATATATATATATATATATATATATATATATATATATATATATATATATATATATATAAATATATATATATATATATATATATATATATATATATATATATATATATATATATATATATATATATATATATATATATATATATATATATATATTTAATAAGTGTCATTTATTGTGCAGTGAAAAAAAAATTTAAACGAGCGTTGTCTATGGTTTTTCACACTAGCTATCCATTTATTTGTTAACATTACTTATTTAATAAAAAATTTTACAAAGAGCTATAAAGGTTACTACTACTTATAAAAAATGGTTATATTTACTTATTGTAATAGAATTCAGGCATTTTAAGAATTAATGACACAACAATTAAAAATTCCACATTAAAAGTGAATATATTAAAATAAATAATGTACAAAATATATAATATATTACATAAAATAAAAATTATTTTGTTAATATAATTTAGACTGTAATAACTTTATATTTATCAGTTAGTGCAGTCTAATCAAAAACATGTGCATTTCAATTAGTGTTCTTTTTCAATTTTTGTCTCCTACTCCATAGTTTTAATCATCTTGTGCAGCTGCTTTATCTAACCATAATCATTTTCTTTCAAAATAGCAGCTCTCTTGAGAACAAACAACTATTTATTATTATAAAATAATGATTTAAAAAGGTGCTGTCAGATGCTAAGCTCCATTATTCTCAGTTCGCTAAAATCTCGTATCTTATCTCAGGAATGAAAAGGCTTGAGAGACTATTGGAAAATCTTAAACAGCGTTGTTAACAAAGAAAGGTCTAACATTCCATCTCTCATTCATAGGACTGATCTTATTACTTCTCCCAAGGATAAGGCTAAACTATTTGCAAAGAACTTTTTTTCTAATTTGACTTACAAATCTTTTGGCCAGTCTTTACTTTTTATTCCAATTAAACAGGTTAACCCATTGTTAGACATCTAAATCACTCCAGCTTCTGCTGATAAAGTCATATCTAAATTAAACTATTCTACGGCTTGTGGCCCAGACAACATTCCTGTCACAGTCTTACAAAATTGTTCTCCAGAACTCTTTTTAATTTTCTTTAAACTATTTAATAAGTGCTTGACTGAGTCTAGTTTTCCTGCCTGTTGGAAAATGGCATCTGATGTTCCAATTTTTAAAAACTCAAGTGAACATTCTAATCCCTCCAATTATCGTACAATCAGTCTTCTTTCTGTTATTACCAAGGTCTTTGAGTCTTAGATAGACAAATATCTCACATCCCATCTTGAGTCAAATAACTTGCTGTCAGACAATTAATACAGTTTTCATTCATCTCGCTCTACAATTGACATGCTAACTGTTGTGACTGAAAAATTTTATTGTGCATTAGGTCGAAGCAGAGGCATTTTTAAGGCTTCCACCAAAGTTTGGTATGTTGGTCTTCTCCATAAGCTTGTTTTAAATGGTAGATCTAGGTAAGTTTTTGAGATTATCAAATCCTTTCTTTCTAACTGCTTTATTAAAGTCATCCTCAAATGCCAAAACTTTTTTTTCCAGAAACTTCTGGGGTACTTCAAGGTTCTATCCTTGTTCCTATTTTGTTTCTTAGCTACATTAATGATCTTCTCAACAACCTTACATCTAAAGTAGCTCTTTTTGGTGATGACTCAATTTTATACTCCTGTCTTGACAAAAAGTCTTCACCTTTTAATCACTTAGAACAGGCAACCGACCTTGAATCTGATCTCACTTCTGTAACAGATTGGGGCCCACAGTTGCTTGTAAACTTTAACTCAAACAAAACTCAGTTGTTTACTGCAAAAAACTATCGCAGTACTGTCGACATTCCTATACCCCTTCACTGAGTCCTTTTCCTTACAACTTCTTGGATTATCATTTCTTGTATTTATTTTTATCATAAGTTGTATTTATTTTTATCTTTTAAGGTAGATAGATTATGAAAAGAAATAAGAGATGCATTAGTTTTACATTAGTACATAAAACAAAGTAAATATTTATCAGCTAAATATTTGTTAAAAATATTTAGCTGATAAATATTTAGAATTTTTGTTTCAAATAAGAAAGACCTGGCGTTAGCAAATCTATCTTTAAAATTGATTAGACAAGACACATGTGATAGAGTGTTAACAATTTAGATTTATTGGTATTACCCATTTTATTATTGTAAGTGTTTGCACAATTATAAGTGTTATTAAGTGGTAATTTATATGGTAATGGATAAAAGAGAAACATAATTGTGTTAAAATGTGTTTATTTATATTATTTCTTGTTTACATTATTTCTATATTTTTAACAACTTTGTTGCACAAAAATTCAATGTGATATTTCCAGCTAAGTTTTTTATTAGCACAGACACCTTAAAAGTTAGTATATGTTTCTCATTTTATTTGCATTTTGTCTAAAAAAGAAAGGGCATTTTATTAGACAGAAATTCCCTTTTGGAAGATAAATTAAAAAGTGTCCGTTTCATTTTACCAACTTTAAGCAAATACTTATTTATTTTAATTAAGTCACAAATTTTTGATAACTCAATATTTGTATTTTGAAACAATGTTGTTATACATTTATAAGATAAAAAGAGATTAGTATCATCAGCAAACTTAACAGTCATTAAATTAGAGGCTTTAGGGAGATCAATAAAAAATAATGACAATAAGAAAAGAATGGGTCCTAGTATAGAGCCCTGAGGAACTCCAAAAGGTAAATCTAATAAATCGGAAGATACAGTTAAATTACTTTCAACAAACTGTTTACAGTTGCTTAAACAACTTAGTAGTATTAATATTATTAGTAAAGTAGCATTAAAACATTTCCTTTGATTCAATAGTTCTCTAGTTTTTGAAATAGAATTTTGTGATCAACTGTATCAAAGACTTTTGATAAGTTAATAAAAGCTCCCAACATAACAGAATTTCTGATATAATTATAAGGACGCATCCATAAAGTACATAGGAAGTAAAACTTACACATATGTATTCTTTAAATGACCCCCTGTCTGCGTGCATTTGCATTATTTTTTTACAAAACAAAACCCCTTTCCATTCCGCAACACATAGCTTTTTAAAATAATAAAAACAAAAAAAAATTTAAAAGTTAATTTACCATTTCTGTTACCATTTCTCTGTAACATAACACAATTGACTTTGGCCAACGTGTAAAATCTTTGCAAACATCGTATTTTGACTTTAAAATGATGTATTTACAAAATATCATGTTTACTGACAGCAAAAAGTTAAAAAAGTCTGAAATGTTGAAAGATTCCACAGAAAAATTGTGCATTTAAAATAAGTAAAAAATTGAAGTTAGAATCAACAACTGATGTAAGCAAGTACTACTGTTGTGATGCAAATCTATAACTAATTTCATAGTAGCAAGATTCAAAATTTAGAAGAGTCAATAGATTTATAAAGTATTTAATGTCAATAAAAAAGTCATTAGACTTAAAGAAAAACAAGCAAGGGAAGAAAGTTGTTAATTAAGTAATTTAATCATTAATAAATTTGTAATGACATTGCTTTGACAAAAACATTGGCTTTCACCAAGTAATGATGTTACAACATCCTGTTATATTTTGAAAAAGGTCAACTAATGTATAATAATATGTATAATACAAAACTAAAGTAACAAATGAGCAATAAAAGGGTAAAAATTGGAGAGCAAGAAAGTTTTTATATATTTGAACCAATTAGAATTGGTAATCTTGCATGCAGAAAGATCATGTTACGAATGCGTAATTTATAAATACATGAAAAAAGAACTCAATCATCTAAATTAGTATTATCAGAATCAGTAAAAGCTTTGATCAGAATGTTTTAATGATTACCAGTATAATGTAAAGAAGTTGCAAAAAACTTTATCCTATAAGAAGTCACAGTTGAAAGACTTAACTTAGTAACAAGAGCGTTCCTTTTCAAACATAAAAAATTGAAGGATAAATCGACTAAAAAGCAAATATTTGGATAAGTAATATCATGGAGATTTGTTATTGAATTCCAGAAGGTGTAAGGAATAACAACAAATGTTTGGTCAGCATTTGATCATGTGAATAGGTCTGACATTTCTTTTGAAAAAGGTCATGTTCCTGGTCATTTCATGCATTTTCAGTCATGATTCAGTGATCCAACTTAATTTCCAGATTTCAAAAAATTGTAAAATTAAAGAAGCTATACTTTATTACAATTACCTTAAGATGGCGATGGTGGTGTGTTGGTAGAGTCCTTGCTTTTAAAACTAGAGAATCCAAGTGTGATCCCAATTTGCTTCTCTGCACAGCAGCCTTGTTAATTACAATTAATGTTACGAAGTTATAGAGTTGAGAGGGGGAAACCAGAGTAATCACAATTTAATCAAGCCTTCTCGAACTAGGGAGGTGAATTAACATTGAAAAAAAAATTTAACTATAAACTTAAAATTTGAAGTAAAAACTTGGGAATTTTTTTTT